TGTTCAAGTCAGTGAAGTCGATGCAGACTCTCCACTTCCCGTTCTTTTTCTTTACGACCACGACGTTTGCTAGCCATTCGGGGTAGTGGACCTCTCTGATCATGCCGTTGCTTAGGAGCTTTTCAATCTCTTCATTGAGGATCCGGTTTCGCTCAGGTGCGAATTTCCTCCTCCTCTGCTTCACTAGTGGGTGATTCGGATCTGCCTTGAGCTGGTGGACCATTGCGTCTGGACTGATTCCGGTCATGTCAGCGTGGGACCAGGCGAAGTAGTCTTCGTTTTGTTTGAGAAATTCTATCAGCTTCTCTCTTGTGTCGGGTTTGAGGCGGGAACCTATATGTGTCTTTCTCTTTGGGTCGTCCGGATGTATCTGCACTTCATCCAACTCCTCAATAGTCAGTTGGTCAGGCTCGATCCGAGGGGTTGGATGAGACTATAATTGCTATGAAGAGTTTCCTTTGCTCTTGAAGGCGTTCTTGTAGCAGTCTCTGGAAGCTTTGGGGTCGCCCTTGATCTCTTGTACCCCCCACTTGGTTGGAAACCTGATCGTCTAGTGGAAGGTAGATGGGACTGCCCGCATGTCGTGGATCCAAGGCCGGCCCAAAATGATGTTATAGGGAGATGGGCAGTCGATCACCAAGAAGATGGTCTGTTTGTTTACTTCGCCGGCGTAGATGGGAAGGACGATCTCTCCGATGGAGTATTTCTGCTCCGAGCTGAACCCAACCAGCAGTGTCGGCCGCCTGTTGATGTTTGCTGCTTCTAGTCCCATTGCCTTTACTGCTTCGAGGAACAGGATGTTTGCTGACGAACCTCTATCTACGAAAACCCTTTTCACTAGGATGTTGGCAATCTGCAGGGAGACAACTAAAGCATCGTGATGAGGAGCAGCCAGGGTGACCGGTTCGTCATCTTCAAACTGAATTACCTGATGAGAGTGTGATCGCGAGACCGGATGGATGGACTGGACTTCATGGTGGTGGTTGGCTCTAGCATACCGCTTGGCCGATGAGTAACTTACCCCACTGATCTCTGATCCTCTGGAGATGAGCGAACAGAAACCTTTTGGTGTGGTTCCCACGGAGGGGGTGACTGTTCTTTGGAGTTTTTCTGGCTAATGGTGTTCTTCCCCTTGTCAGTAAGCAGATCATGGAGATGTCCCTTTTTCAGAAGTGCGGCAACCTCGAGCCACAAGGCAATACAGTCTGCAGTGTTGTGCCCATGGTCGCTGTGGAACTCGCACCACTTGGTTGTGTCTCTTCTTGCCTCGGGATTGAGCTTGCCAGGCCACTTGACGGTGGATCCCAATCCTTTCATTATTGCTATGACCTGGGTTGGTTCGACGTTGAGGTTGTACTCCGGTATTTTGTGTCGGTTTGATCTGAACTGCCTGTTATCATTTCTCGCCGGTTGGCGATCATAAGGTTTCTTGACTCTGTCCATATTGCGTGCTGGAGGTTGGTAGTGGTGCTTTACCGGTCCAGGCTTTGGCTTCCTGTCACTCCGCCTTGATTCATATCTAGAATGAGCAGCTCGGTTCATCTAATCTTCCTCCCATCTTATCTGGTTAACCGCCCGGGCCAGAGTGTCTTCCATTGTGGTGCAACCCAGCTTTGTAAGTTCTTTGTACAGTTCTCCGTCCGGGAGGAGGCCTTTCTTGAAAGCGTCCACAGCAGTCTCGGGGTTACATGAGGGGATAGAGATCTTTTCTCTATTGAATCTGCTAACATATTCTCTCAATGGCTTTCCCCTTCTCTGGTATATTCGGTATAGGTCGGCCGATAGTTTCTCTAGTTTTTTGCTGCTGGCGAACTGTTTCACAAAGGTGTCGGTAAGTTGGGCGAATGAATCGATGGATCCGTTCAGGAGGTTTGTGTACCACTGGAGCGCCGGGCCGGACAAACTAGAACCGAAACTTTTGCACATGCAGGCTTCCCTAAGCGGTCGGGGTATTGAGACAGTGAACATCCGCTGCTTGTACGAGGCTATGTGGTCATCTGGGTCATTGGTACCACCGTACGGTTTCATGTTAGGGATGGTGAATTTCTGGGGCATGTCGGCCAGAGCGATCTCATCCACAAATGGTGAATCAGCGTAACAATGGGGTCTATTCTTCTTGGTTGGGATCGGCATTCCTGGAATGTGCCTCATCACTGCCTCGACATCGGCCAGTCTCTTGGCCAGTACTTGTTCCATAGGAGAGGGGGATACTACCGGGTCATCCCATCTTACTGGGTCTGCTACTGCATTCGTTCTCGGCACATTCCGTTAGGTCATCCCTCGGGGGGTAATCTGATAGATCATTCCATCGTGCATTCCTTGGTAGCATGGATCTTCATTCATCCCTTCCGGTTGGATGACTCCCATTGTCACTGTTCTATTATTCCGTCCTACATGAATGATCAGGGGAGTCGACTGGTAGTCGCTCGGTTTGTCAGGATGGATGAGCTCGAGTGCTGGAGTTGGTTTGGTTTGGCCATTCAACCTGCGAGGGTGAGCCGAGCCGAATGGGGTTTATGTTTGGGTTGTTGACTGGAGGTGGAGCGGGACGGTAAGGATGGGCTGGTCTTGCGGATGTGGGCTTTCTGTTATTGGATTGTCTTGGTCACGAGATTGGGATGGGTCGGCTGGATGGTGTTCTGCTGGCATATCTTTGTCTCCATTAGTCAAAACGGAGTCGTCGAGTGCTAGTGCTCTTAACGGATGTGGCCCTTTACTGGAGACCGAGGGTCGATGCTCTGGTGTGGAAAGAGGTTGCATGGATAGGATAGGGGCGCGGAACCGATTGGGGGGTACTTGGTTGGGCAAGAATTCAAGATCATAAAATTGACTCACCTTCTCTTTTAGAAACTGGTTTTCAGTCTTAATGGATGCGTTTTCGGTCCGGATTGCATTGTTCTCGGCTTCCAGTGCGGCCACCTTGTCTGAGTTTTGTTGCATGAGAGAGGTCAAAACCTCCAGTCTGGCCTCGAGGCCGGGGTTAACGTTATCGGGATTGTCAGCCATGGAATGTTCCTCTATGTAGCAAGGTTCGTCGAGCCGAATGATTGCTAGAGGCCCCACGGTGGGCGCCAAACTGTAGACGTAAAAATCTACCTATACGGAAGGGGGGTCTGATCCCGTGAGATTGAGACCACTAGCGATCTGCTGCACCTGCACACGTTGAGAAACACACGCGTGAAGCGAACGGGGTGTTTGCCGTAGGCACTCCGACGCTTAAGTCAGCAAGGCTGAGAGAGGCTAATATAGTGAGGGCTAAGGAGTAAAGGTTACCGGAAGTCTAGTCGGGGACTGTGACTACGGCGATGATGTGAAGCTCTCAAGTCAGAGCTTTCAGTGTGAAGGTATAATGTAGTGTCCTTTGTGAGAGGGCTGGCCTCTATTTATATAGTGACTGTCTGGTCTCCCAATCCTGGTGGGAGTAGGAGTCCTAATGTGACTCTGATGCAAACCCTAGAAGAATTAGAGCCATGGTAAGCCATCTTACCAGTGTCCGGATAGGAAAGTGATTCTGATCAAGAAAGTAACTTCGAGTAGGAAAGTGTTCTAAACAGGAAAATGACTTCGAGTAGGAGATTGATCAAGAATAGGAATATGATCAGTGGGTCGTGGGCTCGGAACTTGCCTATAGGCCCACGAAGTAAACTGGAACTGGGAGGCCCGTGCCCAGATGGTTTGGGTAGGCCGTATCTCGTATCAAATGGGACTAATCTGGCTTGGGCCTCTTTGGGGTTCAGGCCTGGTCTTCTCTTCACAAATGGTCCTACTTTCCTATTTGGGCCGAGGACGATTTTTGGCCCTAACAATACTATTGAAAATATTTTTAAAGTCTTAATTTAAATTATATGTATTCATTATCAAAACAATATTTTGATAATAAATAAATAAATGAAAACGTATCCAATATGTTTGTCAAACTTAAATAGAGCTTAAACATGGATCAAACGCCAACTTTGGTATCTTATTTAACCTTTTCAAAATACTCTTTCATTTGATGTAATTTTGTTTGAAACAAAAAGAGTTAAATAATTTTAAGCGGTGATCATATTGACTTTGTAAACTCTCAAAGAGAAAAAAGTTGCAGGCTTGTGTAATAAATAATATTTTATTTATTTATTTTTCTTAGTTAACACTTCAAGTAAATGCTTACCGAACATCTGCTTCACACTTTCCTTGATTAAAAAATGGAAAATGTGAGCATGAAATCGTAATGGAACAGCCCCTAAATGATCAAGAATTAATACAATTTAGATAAAGTTAAGTATAATATTTGCATTGTCCCTTAAGGGACTCAAGTTCATTTAGGGCATATTTGGTGTATCACATGTTGTATTGTATAATATAGTATTATATAACATCATTATATATATACGTTATACTATATATAATATAATAGTGTTCGATGTATTATTGTATTGTGTCAATTTATACAACTAAGTTTTTAAAATATTTGCATTTAATAAAACGTTTAAAATCCTTAAACTTACGCTAGTAAAAATTGTATTATTTTAAATCAATAATTTTAGTTTTTAAATAAAATTTTAATTTATTAGTTATAGTCCTAATTTAGAGTGTTGCAGACTATTACTTAAATGTGGAAATCATAGCTAAAAATTGTATTATTTTAAATCAGTAATTTTTGTTTCTTGGAGAAATTGTGGCTAATTAGTGCAAATATTCCGTAGTTCTTGTGGTGTACGGAGCAAACATAAACATCTAGATTAGTTTGGAAGAGACATAATGGATATAGTTCACTGAACTTCAATATTATCAGAATGCCAAACAAGCAGAAAGGAATTAAAAAACTTTACTGTGTATTAATACAGCGTACAATACAACTATTTAAATACATACAATTACTAGAATCATAACTCCGAACCTATGAAGCAAGTAGAACAAGATAAGAATATCTTTATTACATAATTGGGAGGAGAGCTTATCTTAAACAAAAACTGCTTTTACTATTTATTAATATATTAATGGTTGCTTTAAGGCTTAAGCCACTCCATATTCTCTTAATGAAATGACAATATATATACATGACACTGAACACAAGAAGGAGAAATTTTCGATCAACTAACTTGAGACGCTGAGGTAATTTTGTTTAGTTTACAAGAATAATAAATCTGATTTCTTTTAAATGTTAAAAAGGCTGTGTTTGTTATTTCAGATGGGGTGGGGAAACATTTACATAAGACGCATCAAAGTGTACAAGCTGGCTTTCAGAGTTTTCCTGGACTACAAGGTAATTAAGGTTGCGCTTAGTACCCTATTGTAACAATATCCTCTTCCACTATCTTATCCTAAAAAATGAAAAAATGAATTTGTTTTAATATTCTTCAAAATCTAATCCTATTCTATCTAACTTAAAATATTTAACAATTATTTTTCTCAATAAAAATTTTAAAATTAACAAAAATACCCCTACCCACCCAATAATTGTCGGCAGTTGGCCACCACGTTGGACGGTGGCTAGAAGTCGTCAGAATAACACACGATCGGCTAGATCTGGTCAGTTGTACGTCGATCTGTTTGTTTTCGACTAGATCCACCATGGATCTGGCTGGAAATAGTCAGATCTACAGTCAAAGATTTGGCCATTGATGGCCAAACGACGACCATATCTTGGCAGCCAAATGATGGAAATATCTTGGCCGTCGTTTGGCTATCGTCAATGGTCGGATCTTTGATCATAAACTTGACTGAAAAAGGCCAGATCCAGTCGGTCGTGCACAATTCTGGCAATTTCTGGCCACCGTTAGGCGGTGGTGGCCGACTGCCAACAATTATTGGGTGGGTGAGGGTGTTTTTGTTAATTTATAAACTTTTATTATATGGAGTGTTTAGCTAAATTAACAAATGTAGGGGGTTAAAAATAATCTAAATATTTTCAGAAAATGAACCAAATATATTCTTAGAATCCTATCATATTTTATTAAATCCTATTTTAGAATAGAATACTATTCTAAAAAACTAAACAAACGGAGCCTAAAATTGATTTATTTGTTATTGCAGCTTAATTACTTACTACTTTGATGTGAAATCTTATTGACTTATTTGGTGTTAATGTTAACTAAAGGTTGTACAGATAAAAGCGAAATGGATTGAAAAATCTAAAAGAGATGGTTTATGGGAGGAAGCTCATAACCGAAATGGTAAGCGTATTGTGAATCTGATAACAGAGTTGAACGGTTTATGGGTGAAACTTGGACAGTACTTATCAGGGCGTGCCGATGTGCTTCCGGTGGAGTACATAACTCTTCTCAAACAATTACAAGACTCACTTCCTCAACGTCCTGTACAAGAGGTGGTTCTTCTTCTACCTTTCAACTTAAACTTGCGTAGTAGAAGATTATGGAAGTCTCAATTTGATTTTGTTAGGCTAATTTCTATGAGCAGGCTGAATACTGAAGGATTAGAGATTACTTGTTTGCCTATATTATGAATTTCCTTTTGTTCATGAAGAATTTAACCTTAGTTTAGTCTTTATATTTATTAATAGGTTAGTTGATTATTTATAAAATAAAGTAATGAATTTATAATTTCATTTTAATATAATTCTATTATATTTCAATTTTATTATCTTAATTTTAATTACTTATATTAATGATTATGATATTTATATAATTAAATATTTATTTATATGAAATTGAATGGAAATATATTAATCATTAAAGCATTAATTTTAACTAAAAATTTAGCGTTTTGATAATTATTTTCATAATATGACCAAAACTATTTAAAATTACTCTATATAATTTTTTTAGTAGAAAATTAAAATGAAATGTTTTTAGGAATATTATTATTTTTAAATTAATTAATTAGGAATATATCATTAGCTAATATACTATTAATAATAAAATTTATATAAAATATATTTAATTTAACTTATTTAATATATAATATAAAAAGAAAAAAATTTATCCCTATTAAGACAAAGAGTCACTTGCTTCTCCACGACTCTTTATCTAAATCTGAACTAAACGCGGGACTGGACTATTAAAAAAAAAAAAAAAAAATAGTCTAATCCCACCTTTGGTCCAACGTCTCGAACATAGCCTACAGTATTAACCCTTTTCACAATCCATCCTATAAAGTTATCAAATTTTGTTCTTATTTAATAAGCAAAGTTCATCAAAGTATTCCCAAATTTCATCAATTGAACTCATCTTCCAACCTTCATCAAACACAAACCCTTTTAATTGACCAATCAAATCATCAAATTTCACGGATCTTTAGAAAATATCAAACAAAAGAATAATAATAAAAATAAAAATGAAAGATAAAAAATTGGTCTGCGGTGGCCACCGCCGTTGCTTGAGCCCCCACGCAGCTGGCCAGATTTGACCGCCGCGTGGGGGCTTCACGCCGACTAAATGTGGCCGACACTAAGGCCTCCGTTTTTCTCAGTTTGGGTATGTGCATATTTTTATTACATCTTCAGAATATCTAAGAGGTAAGTTTGCTTGCACAGGTTTGTCAGACCATAGAGAAAGAGTTGGGTGAATCTATGGATGATCTCTTCATGGATTTTGTCCAAAAACCTTTAGCCACAGCATCAGTAAGAGCCTCCAACTATAATTGGTAGTATGAGCCAATGAAATAGTTAGTACGTTATGGGATTTTCATGTTTTAAACCATACAGATTGCACAAGTCCACCGTGCCAAGCTGAGTGATGGGCAGGATGTGGTTGTCAAAGTTCAACATCAGGGCATCAAGAAAATTATCTTGGAGGTTTTACATCCTTTTTTTTTATAAGTATTTGATGCAAAGAAAAACCTGCAGTGATTAAACGGTTATTGAGTATGCTATAATTTTATAGGACTTAAAGGATGCAAAATCGATTATTGACTGGATAGCTTGGGTAGAACCGTTATATGATTTCAATCCAGTTTTAGACGAATGGTGCCGAGAAGCTTCAAAAGAACTTGACTTCAATCTTGAAGCTGGTATGATAAGTTTTCACTTCATCATATTTTTGGACAAAATATTAGTTGTCTTCTGTTCCTATTAGTGGGAAATGTAATACGCATGTGAGTTTTGATGAGATAATTGTTTCTATTGTGGAATTTGAAATGACAGGAAAAAAAGTCACAGATTTTGCACTTCCTAGTATGATAAATGCTTCCATTTCTGAAGTTATTTTTCTTATTGATGTTTGTTTTGTGTTTCTAGAAAATACTAGAACTGTGTCTAGAAATCTTGGCTGCAAAAACAGAGGCGAAGACAGCAGGCCTGCCAATAAAGTGGATGTTCTTGTTCCGGAAGTTATTCAGGCATGGTTTTAACTATTATTTTAAACTTAATGTGCTTAGTTTGCAATCTGGAGTTTAGGTTACTCGGTGCTATGTTTAAATTTGAAGGATGGGAAGTTTGGAATATTTTTATTGTTACTCTTGTTTTATCATAAGTTATCCCAGAAACTAAGTGAATATCTAGTGAAACAGAAACGTTTGTCCCGAAGAAACAAGTTCAAGTTTATTACTCAATATAAAACCCTTATATTTCAGGCATACACTTTTAACAAATGGGCTAATCTTTTGGCTATAACTGTTAGATTTGTCAATGTAAGCACTTCCTCGGATCTGATATGTTGTATATATGTCCTCCTTGGTAATTATGTAATGGGGAAGGAGTGCCCCCTTTTTTTTTTCAAGTTTGGATTGATAGGTTTACCTAATTATAACTGATGCTAGACTTTGATCTACTGTTTACCTTGGAAATTGACTTTCTTAGGACGCAGAACAATGCCTTTTTGGTTTTAAATAACAAAATGTATATCTTTTTTTTTTTTTTTTTTTTTTTTTTTTTTCAAATTGACAGTCAACTGAAGCTGTCCTGATTTTAGAGTATATGGATGGGATACGTATAAATGACTCTGAATCTCTGGAAGCTTTTGGTGTTGACAAGCAAAAGATTGTAGATGAAATTATACGTGCATTTGCCCATCAAATTTATGTTGATGGATTTTTCAATGGTGACCCTCATCCTGGTACTTGTTCTTACTCATTTCTTCTTTTTATCCTTGTTGTCTTGAAAATTTGTTTGGCCTTCAGAACAAGCCATAATACTAGGTTTACAATAAAAGATGGTTTTTTTCTGATAACATAATATGCTGCTTGTGCAACAATCAATTCCCTCTTTCTATTCCAATGTTTCTTGGGTGTTTTAATGCAGGAAATTTCCTTGTTAGCAAGGAGGCTCCTCATCGTCCAATTTTGCTCGACTTTGGGCTCACAAAGAAACTATCAAACTCTGTGAAACAAGCACTAGCAAAAATGTTGTTGGCAGCTGCAGAGGTTTGGGTTAACTTTTCGTTATCTTTTTCATCATAGAATAAATATTTTACAGAATTGTAGAAATTAGAAGAATTATCTGATGACTCAATGTCTTGATTGTGTGAGTGTCTATGAGTTAATTTCTCTAGCATGAGAGAGTTGTTTCTGTTTCTACTTTAGCAGTAATCTTTTACTTTCTCTTAGCCTAAATTATTTTGATTAAATGCATCAGGCTATAGCTTTATTATTTTATGTACTTTTGTTAAGTATTCATTGTAATGTTACTAGCTTGATTTAATAGGGGAGTTCTTAATTTCAGAATTGTAAATATCAGTCTTGTAGTGTTTGAATTGGTTTACCTTTGGTTGAGCTTAAATGCTATTGTTAGTTTCTTATCTATAAGCTTAAGCTTTGGAAGAAGTGGTTGCTTAACATGCTGTTAGAGTCAAGTTGACAAAATGGTCTTTTGTTGAAATCTCTATATTTAATAAAATTACGATAAGTTGTGTTTTTGATTGTGTAAGCTCCATATGCAAGTGCATGGAAGGGGGTGGTACAGCTTAGATACCATTGTCTGACCCTTACCTAAAAGCTTAAACTTTTAGGGCAAGTGATTTCTTAACAACCTTGTTTTGAATTTGATTTCTAACCCCTTTATTTATTGTTAATTTCTTTCTAGTTTCGACATCTCTTCAAATTATTTCTCTTTCCAGATTAAGAAATAATTATTTTTGTCTTTGTCAAAGGGAGACCATGTAGCTCTTTTGTCTGCCATGGCAGAAATGGGACTTACGCTACGTCTAGACTTGCCCGAGCAGGCAATGGAGGTTACAACATTATTCTTCCGTGCTTCCTCACCAGCAGATGAAGCTTTCGTAAGTTTACTCTCAGATTGTTTTCTCAACTTAGATTTTCTTTACCTCTTGCTAATGTCCCTGTGTACAGGATACCATGAAAAATATTGTTGATCAAAAGGAAAAAAGCATGAAGCTTATTCAGGAAAAGATGAAATTTAGCCAAAAAGAAATTAAACGCTTTAATCCTGTAAGGCCATATCATCTTCTTTCCTCTATATGTTTGTCTGAGACATTCATTAAAATTTCATTCATATTTCTAACATTGTTACACACTTTGGTTCCAGTTCGATGCCTTTCCTGGTGATTTTGTAATGTTTTCAAAAGTCCTTACTCTCCTTAGAGGTATGGTATAGAGACCTCCATTCTTTACCTTGTGTAAACCAACTGTCCATTGTTATCTCATTATCTAACATTGTTCAGGGCTTTCGTCCATTATGAATGTTTGTATAGTCTACCTGGATATTTTGAGACCATTTGCTGAATCTATTTTAGAAGGGTCAGTCCATTTTAACCTTTCATTGCTTTTGTTACTGGCTCATATCTGACTACAATATGATTTAACTTCTTAGAAACATGAATAAGGGACCAGCAGCAAATCCCCGGTGGATATATGATACTCCAATCCATTCTGAAGTAGAGGCCAAGCTGAGGGAATTCTTAGTTCAGTTGGGGCATGAGGACAGAATACTTGGAATTCAGGTCTGCACCAATTTTAGTTCAGTATCTTTCCAGTTATGTCATTTTAATAGCTTCTCATATTTTTTTCACTACTTTTTGTTTCTTTCCCTTCTACCTCTGAAGCCGTTAGTTTTCCATGCTATGGGTGTTGTAGCAGTCTCAGTTAATGGGGACTAGTTGATTGAGCTTATTGATTTTGTTACAAGCCTTCATTTTTCTTTTTCCATTATGTTGGAGGTAACCAGTTATTTGATAGAAAACTATATCTGCAAATTTATTGGATTGGAGACAGATTGTTGAGCTACTTGTATTTAGTATATGACAGACTTGGTTACATGGTATTTCTGTAATTGCAGCTTCACCCTTAAATTATGTTATCAAAAGGGACTTGGTTACGTGGTATTTCTGTAATTGCAGCATCACCCTTAAATTATGTTATCAAAAGTTTGTCCTTGTAGACAATCTCCCAAACATTGTGTATGTTTTAGATGGCTTCTACTAATGATATTGCTTTTCCAAGCACATTGCAACCTCCTTATTAATGACTGAACTTGTACAACTTAAATGATACACCTTTAGATTTATGAAGCCTAAGATCATTACAATATTTTGGTCTCAAAGATCTTGCTAACTATCAGTTATTATAGGATATTCCTTTTTAGATTTTCCACATTTCTTTTTGAAAAGTGTACATTGCATTTACTTCCCTAAGTAAATATATGAATTTCATCAGAATGGTTATTACACTTGTGACATGGAAGTCAAGATTTCACGAAGTTCGACCAATGCTTGACATTAAATGAGGAAAGGAATTTTCTGCACCAAGTGGGACAATTGTCATTAGCAACATAGGACAATACTTTATCAAACTTTGAGGGGTCTTCTGTTCTGCTAGAATATCCCAAGCAATTAGACCCAAAATTGAAACTCCATACAACTTTAAAAATAAGAATACATGTTGTCTTTATATTTGGGGATTCCTTTGGGACATTATGTGTTCATCCAAGACTGCTGAAAGTTTAGGTCTTATTGACTGACTAGTACAGCTAATCTCCAAGATCTTTAAATTCCTGAAAATCACCTTTATTGCTGAGGTCCGTAACAATCGTTACTATCGGAGTTACTTTGTTTAAGATACAGCCAACAAAAGCCTTTATCTACCACTTTAAGATTAAAGTGGAGAGTGCTTAAAATAGCATGTTTATACTATTTGACATTGAGGGAAGTGTCATTTGGATTGCTATTTTTAGTGAATTTTGAACAAAGAGATGTATCGTGTCCAATAAATGAAATTAGGTGGTATCACAAAACGGAATTATTTTCTTCCAGTTTCTGTACCATTAGTTGGTTCACCTTTATTTGTTTTAACTTTTAGTTTGAAATTCATATTAACAATTTTGGATGATTAATAAGCTATTTCTCTATTTTTGAATGCCAAACTATGAAAATGCAAAACTGTGGCTATGATTATTCTTGACTTCTTATGAGATTTAATTTATGTTTTAAGGTTTGTGCGTACAAAGATGGTGAGGTCATTATAGATACTGCTGCTGGAGTGCTTGGTAGATATGATCCTCGTCCTGTTCAGCCTGATAGTCTTTTTAATGTTTTTCGGTAACCAAGGGCATCACAGCAGGCATGGTGCATTGGCTGTTGACAATGGGTAAATGTTCCTGCTTTGCTGTGCAAAAGTTCTATTTTGCCTCGTTATATGTATCCATTAATAGCTGTTCCCTGCAATTTAACAGCAAAGCTCTTCAAGTTCTAATTTAAGTTGTTGAGGTTGGCTAGACATTGTTTGGAAGTTTTAAAAATTTGAACAACATGTTATGCTGATGTTTTTGATGGTCCTCATCAACTGCATGTTAGAGGACATTGTCAAAAGGAGCACTTAATTCATTATGATCCAGCAGAATTAAATTATGAAGTGGATAGAGATTTAGCTGCATGACCTTTTTGAAAATTTGGTCATTTTCCTGTGGTTTTTTTTTTTCTCCTTTTTTGGAAATAAAGCAAATATAGTTCATTTGAATCATGGAATTTTGTAATAGTTGGACACAGCCCAAAATATTGTTCCCTGGACTCAGATTTATTCCTCTTGTTTTGGAAGAAAGTAGAATTTTTTCGGTTATGGGTAAATGAAGAACAGATGACTCGTGATATATTGGTGAGAACCTTTAAACTATTATGTTGTGCATTTGTAAAGGCCCTAACTGCATCAAACCTTGAGTTTCTTGTGACTACCTATCACTTTGGTTCGTGTAGGAAATTAAAAATTAAAGAAAAAAAAGCAAAAAGATTTGGCTACGAAAATGTCCTTGCAACCTTGCCTCTAGTTTATTGATGTTGTTACTCACAGAACTCAATATTTTAAATATATTTGTGCATTCATATCTTCTTCTTGCATAAAATAACAGAAATCATTATGTTAGCGGCACAAAGATGTGAGAGACAAGTAATACATTTTTACAAAGTGAAACAGTGGATATTCAGAAATTCTTATTCCAGTTCATAGAAAATCTAATTCAATTTTGGATTTTGGAGCTTCTTCATTATGTCCATGGTGTACTCTGAGATATTTACTTAGTTGGAGTTTAAATAATATATGCCTTAGTTCACTCATAGTTATTCAATAATACCCCTGTAGTATTTAAGAAGATTCATCAATTGTTAGATTTTAACTTAGCTGAAAGAGCAAATTGATGAATAAGATTACTAGATTAGTGGATACTTTGGTACCCCCGCAGACCATTGTGTGATCTAAGATGTCAATGTTTCTTTAACGTTTGTGCAATTTAACAAATCGAGGCGTTGTCTCGTAGAAAACTCAAGCTTGAGGGAGAATGTTGCTAAGATTTGGCCAGAATTTGGATCAAACGGAAAGATTCATAAAGGTGTAAATTATTACTATGACCTTTGAACACATCCTTTGGTTAGCCATAGTTTTATGTCAGGAACTCAATACAACTTGGTGTTTTGACTTTAGGTCATCATGTGCTTAACCATACAAGTGGTTTGCACAATGCTTTGGTTGAGTTTGGATCAGAAAATCCTATGGAAATTGGGACTGGGATGAATGTTTGAGGCAGATTGCCATGTCAAACCTGAACCTGAAACTGAATGGGCCAACAGCAAGTCTATCACTATCTGACTTTCGGCTGGCTGGTGGTGGAATATCGAGGTATTATAACATATGTTAATGTTGCTTTCAGTGATTATAAGTGGTTGACTATGATTAAAGTATGAAACTTATGAACCCTGAAATCTGTAGATGGCAAATATTTTGCCATATTTATATGGTGCTATGTCTAGGTATGCCAGGTTGATTGATTGTGAGTTGATCTTTTGCTGGCCTTCAGAAGATCAAAGAATTTGACTATATTCTCATCTTCTCTATGTACTCCCCTATCTATAAATATGTTTGGATGAAACAGCGTGCATCTGGGAAGAAATTTCAGGAGATACTTGAAGAAGCATTCATTCGACCGCTAAATATTGAAGGCGAGCTATATGTTGGAATTCCACCAGGTACTTGTCAAACTTCACTTTTTTAATATTCTCATGTCACTTAGTACAGCAAATATAAGTTTGCATGAATATGTGCACACAATCGTGTTCTATAAAAAAGAACAGAATTATGTAGTCTACTATAACTATGAACTGAAGTAGCTTCTCAAATGGAATTATCATGCCTTTCAATGGCTACCCTCCAGGTGTGGAATCTCGACTGCAACTCTTACAATAGATGAATATGATCTCAGGAGTACCAAAACAGAGTTACCATCCTGACGTACCCACTACTTACCGTCTTGACCAAATTGCAGAGCTCATCACCACCTTGCCTGTTTCTTTAACATGCTGAACATTCGGCGTGCCATCTTACTGCTACTAATGGACATTGCTCAGCCCGTGCAGTTGCACGCTACTATGCAGCCCTAGCTGATGGGGGAGTGATCCCACCCCACATTCGTCTCTATCCAAGCCAATGCTGTGTAGTCACCCCAATCCCCCAATTTCTTCAAAGGAGAAGTCAAAAAAGCCAAAGGTAGTAAAGAAAAGGAGGTAACTGCTGCTGAAAGGAAACGACAACAAACAAAGGTAAAGATGGTGTTGATGGTAACTCGACTCACAAATAATGGTAGCAAGATTTTAGTAACCCTAAAATCCTGATGTGCATCTTGGGTGTGGGTGATTATGAGAATTTGACCTTTCCAAATGGGCCATTTGGACTGGGGTTTAAGAGGAATAAAGCTGCAGATGGATCGAAATTGGTTATGGGCACTCGGGCATCGGTGGATCAACAGGTTTCTGTGACATAAAAAACAGGTTTGCTATCTCGGTGTCCTTGAACAAAATGTCATATGGTGCTACAACTGCAAAAATCGTTGACTTTGTTTGTTCAGAGCTAAATATCCCACTGCCGGTTGAGTTTTCATTTTAAGGACTTTGAGAAGCCTTCATTTCGCTGAAAATGAGTATATCATAGCCCCTTTGTATATACCATATCCAAATCATATGTCTCCATAGAGGTGAATTATCAAACATTTCATGAAGGAATTATATTGAAAATGACATGGTTTACTCCATGTCAATTTGTTAACTTTATTATTATTATTTTTTGAATTAATTATATAACAAATGATCAACGAATGTCATAAAATTCGAATCTGTATTCAGAAAATTAAATTAAATCTGCCAAATTGATAGATTGTTTATATATTTGTATTAGTATTATTCTATTAAAGCATTATTAATAGAAGTATGAATGATTAGACGAATATTTTCACCTCAAAATAATATCTGCTTGTTTATATTAATTTTCACATTTTCTCTCTTCTTATTTATATTAAATTCAAATGACTGGAAAATCAATTAATGTTTCAAATATAAATTGAGATATAGAGTAAGTTGGGCATTAAAAAAAAAAAAAAAAAAAGAATCAAAATTACAAAACTTGAACTTACCATCAAGATTTTTGGGTTTGGTGATCCGTACGCATAGAAGTCCATTTATCAGTACAAAATTATATTGCAGTGAAATACAATAATAATTTGTAATTGTGTTTATTGAGTGGTTGATAAAGTGAAAAAAGATATTAAATTTCATATTTTAATTATTGTAATAAATTAGGTTTGAAATCAAAATAAAGCATGTATAATAGTTAAAACTCAAAATACAAAAAGTAAACAGAAAATATAAAAATTAGATGAAAGTACAAAATTAGGTTACAAATACGTATTAAAAATTATGGCTTGTGTGAACCCTCCACCTGCAAAACGCAGCCCAACCTAACCCATTCTAACATCTTGAAGATTGAGTAGGGCCCAACCCAACTATACCCGCATTTTTGCCGTCCTATATCTATACACGCAATGAGGCTCAAGGGTGGTTACCCAGATTTTGAAAAAAATCGGTCCATTGCCTATAGCCCTTGGATAATCCAAGGGGCTGAGAATAAATATCTGTAAGAAAAAAATGAAAAACATTTATAATAATGAAAATGTTTTTTTTTTTTTTTCACACCCGAGTTTTAGCAAAATCTATGGGTGCATTTATCTATATTCCACCCTTAAACTAAAACATATCCTTTATTTTAACACGTTGAACGGTAAAAGAGTCAAAATACCCTGGTTTCTAGCCTAATTGCTAATTTTTGCCGTAAGTACCGACACCACCATCGGTAGCCGATTCAAGTAGATTTAGCTGGTTTTGACTGAAACTGACCAAAATCAACTCCTTGCCAGTCCAACCCTTTCCCACCTTGAATAGCGAATTCCACTGTTTTCGTGTCACCAACCATTTTTCGCTGGCCGCCTCTTGTCTTTCTAAGTCAAATTCTGGTAGCCAAAATCAATTTCCACCACCCTCTTAACGGTTGGCCTCCACTCTCAAACCTTGTCAACTGGTTTCCCTCTAAACATGATCGTGAAACGTTGCCTTCTTGTTGTTGGGTTTTGCGATTTGCTCGTTTTAGAGCTTTTTGGAGGCTATTTTTTGTAGTTTTTGTGGTTGGTTGTTGCTATTAGAGTGTTGTGTTGCGTTTGTAGTATGATTGTGGTGTTTTCTGGGTTTCCACCATCCTAAACATTCTCAACTCTCCTCTTCTGGGGGGCATACCAAGTGTCGAGGAAAAGACCCAGACAACACCTACACGAGTTGCCTCTGTGCGCTTTGCCTGCCAATGCGCCCACCTGCAACAAACACCCTTCCACTACATGACTGCACTTTAGGCTAACCGGTCGTTCCCAACGCCAAAAACTCCACCTGCCCACCATCAGCACCACTGACATCTCCTTAAGAAAACCCCCCCATCTATAGGTGATGGTGCTCACTGATCACCGTTTGCCACCCACCCCGCGGCCTCTCGTTTCCTGGTCGAATCTTGATGTTCCTTATGCTAAAACTCCACCTTCCTCCACCATCAACATCTCTTACAAAAACCCCTATCTACCGAACGGTGGTTGCTCACCATCGTCATCCCACTCAGCCTAAGTGGGTGGTTTAAGGGCGTTTGGTGATTGTAGTTGCTGCATTTGTGTCAAACCTAACAGTCCCTAGCAGTGTGTTTAAGGGTTGAAATTAGGAATATAATGCATCAAATGTATCAACTTAGGATTTGCTAAACCTTGAGTGGGAGCATGTCGTTTACTCTTTTTTATTATTATTTAAAATGCAATTTTATATCATTTCCTTCTTCACACTATTCATTCTCTCCATCGTTTTACTTTTAGATTACATTTCTCTGAACTTTCCATTAGTTAAGAAAATCGGCTTAAATTACATACTCGTGAGGTTTGGAAGGCAAAGGTAGAATTAATCGAAAAAAAAAAAAAACAAAAAAAGGGATCATTGGACGCTTGAAATAAGGATTTGAAGCTAGATTGCATTGATATGTTGTACAGGTTCTTGTCATCGTAATTTTTATTTTGATAAATCTAGATCATAAATAGGGATGTAAAAAAACCAGCCCAAACCCAGGGTAGCTCGGCCTAGGTATATATAAACCCTAAGCCTAGAAATCAGGCCCACGGTACACTAAGGCCTAGCCCGAGTAGATTATATAAGATTTAAAAATTACCATGAGCCCCCTTTGTATAAACATAAACTCCCTAAAAAGTTTATGAAAGCCCTACAATTACTTCAGCTTAGCCTGGCAAAATAATCAGGTGGGCCGAGTACGGAGGCCAGGCCCAATGGATACAGGCCGAAAAGGATCGATTCTAAATGAGTCCAATATTTGGATCGGACCTACCCTATACAGTAGGAATGGACCCTTGGATACAGGTACTGTTCACTCCAATTTTCAACTTACAGTTACATCCCCATAATTCTTGCAGTTTTCATTTTTACCAATAGCACAATCAACTACTCCAAATTCAATCAATTGAGTAATTCACCCAAAAGTTACAACCAACTCATTTTCTCATCAATTTAAGGCCAGTAAGCATATAGTCCATAGAAACAAATACATAAAACACTAAAACACAAGTACAAACATATGTAATTTAAAGAAAATCTCAAGCCCAATCTCCATCCAGGGCAGTTATAGCAAAATGCAGTTACATGGTACACTCAAAGTTAACTTACTGGATGTGAATGAATCTTGTCGTATGTTACACCTACCATCCTTATAATAGGAGTCTCAGTGCCCATAATTAACAGCAACATTTTCAACTCTCAATAGGTACCATTTTGATGACAATGAATCTTATTCATGTTAAGAATTTTAAAACCCACAAAACCACTAAAAAGTAGCACACCTAGGCATAAGATCATAAACATAGTCATCGAATACAAAATCGAAATTTCGTTTAACATTTAAGCATTGACCAATTCAATCAATCTCCAAACCACTCCCTTTATTACCACTAAAACAAAAATAACCATTGGAAACAAAAACTACAATTAAACTCAACCGTGAATTATAGATAAGGATTTTAAGTTCAACCAAGACCCCTATGATCTCTTGACAATCTATTCAACTCCTTCAAAACTACAATAGAAACAAAATATTAGAAAATTTCAACCAACCTAGCGAGATAAGCATTTGTTAACATGTAAATCCAAAAACAAGCACGGATAGGAACAAAATCACATTCAGTTACAAGTAAATAGAGCAAACCCTCCAAACATCACAATATTTACCAGAAACTCAAAGCAAATACGAAAGTCTTAAACTTTGAAGAAACCCAGATCAAAGAATACAACTTTTGTCAATTTCTAACAAACAAGAGAAGAAACATAATCAACATATTTAAACACAGTAAAATCTCTAAGTCTACAAACTCCAACATATCCCATCAAAAATACTCATAAAAGCTCATTTTTTTAGTCTAATTGAGAGTGAAAGAGAAGGAGTGCTCTCGTGTCGGCAGCGGGGGGTCTGTCTCTATGTGTTGTGTGAATGTTGATTAAAAAATAAAGAAGATTGAAAAGATGAAAAACCCTAGAAATAGAAAAGTATAAATCGTTTTTTTTTTAAATACGGTCAGTAAGTGTACCTAGACCACCCGACCAAAAAGGGGTTAGGATGGGTACAGGTAAAAAAATACGGACCCAATTTTATGGATCGTACCTTATATTTTTTTTGACAGGTACGGGTTCACCGTGGGAACATACCCGTTTTGCCAGTCTTGTTAGCTACTCTCCAATGTAAAGGTTCCAATACACCCTCTTAAATTACTCGGACCCCACCTATAAAGTAAAATTACAAAAAATCCCTTGTTGTTGATGTTAACAAAACAGCCTGGGTAAGCCCGACCGGGTTTATAAAACTCAGCTTTTTCTCAAGCCGAACTTGGATTAACAAAAAACATGGGCTAAGCGGGGGTGAGGTCGACTTGGGCTAGTGTTTTTACATCCCTAATTCATGATGTA